TTATTTATTTATTTATTTATTAAAAAAAAATTTTTTTTTAACATTTCTTTATATTTGAGACAGACAGAGACAGAGCATGAACGGGGGAGGGGCAGAGAGAGGGGGAGACACAGAATCTGAAACAGGCTCCAGGCTCTGAGCCATCAGCACAGAGCCCGACGCGGGGCTCGAACTTACGGACCACGAGATCATGACCTGAGCCGAAGTCGGACGCTCAACCGACTGAGCCACCCAGGCGCCCCTCCCAGCTTCATTTTAAAAGCCTCCTCCTACTGGGAAGTTCTTCTGGACCAATCCCACCTGCTCCTGATTTTATCTGGGCCTCTGCAGGATCCAGGACCCATGCTCTCACTGAGGGCCTTTGGCCATTTTGTGTCTCCCCAGTTAGACCATAAGGGTACCCAAAGTGAGTTACCATGTATTGGATTTTTTTCTGTATTCCTCTAGTCAAGGACTGTGTGTGTGTTGGATACTTAATAAATATTGCTGACAGACTGTGTTTGTGGTCGAGCAGCTTCTGATGCCTCTGAATGAATATGATCTATAGGCTAAACACCATCAGAGTGACTGTAACACTGACAGCAGACTTTGGTAGGAGACCAATTCACCACCAAAACAAATACCTCCCCTGAAGGCTTGCTTGGTAAAATTTTATAACGTACACATTAATAGATGGCTTGGAGAATCTGGAACACATGAAAATTCCAAAATATAGGCTGGGATCTCAGAGTCTGCAATGAATCGAGGTGGCGCACCTCCCAGGCTCTCTATCCAGGACACCTGTCCCCCTCCCCTCTCTGTTCTGTACTCTGTGTGAGCTCATCGCTTTTCTGGCTCTTTTGCTCCTTTCTCCCACGCCCTCAACGTTTAGGATTCCAGGCCCTGGGGACCTGGAACCTCCTTTCTCTCTTGTGCCCATCAACCACAACCTTGCTTCCCAACTCTTCCAAATCTTACCTCTTCAAGACCCCCTCTGGGGATCCCACCCAGAATCAGACTTGGAGGAGGCTCATGGCACAGGCCCCAGACTCTCCTGGACACCCACCTACTCTTTTTCCAGGCAGGCTCTCCTTCCTCTGTGCCAAGGCCTATTCCACTGAGGCTACTGAGCCAGGAGGCAGGCTTTGTGGGCCAGACACAATCAGCATTTAACAACAAAGGTGCAACAATGATAAATAAAAGCAAATACACTATTAAGAGGAGCCTAAGAGTTTGCCAAGCCATCCTGTGACTGAAAATCCATTTTTTTCAAGTTTTATGTATTTATTTTGAGTCAGAGAAGGCACCCATGTGTGCTCAAGACTGTGCAATGGGGGAGGGGCAGAGAGAGAGAGGGGGACAGAGAGAATCCAAAGCAGGCTCCACGCTGTCAGCACACAGCCCAACGTGGGGGCTCAAACTCACAAACCGTGAGATCATGACCTGAGCCACAATCAAGAGTCAGATGCTTAACAGACTCAGCCACCCAGGTGCCCCTGAAAATGCCTTTTAATCTTTATCCATTACCTACAAAATGGGGTTGGACTAGAATGATCTCTTAAAATCTTTGCCAGCTCTCTGCTTCTGAGTCTGTGAATGCCTCCTAATGGAAAGAAATGTGAGCTTCTTAAGACTATGAGGATAATCAGAGACACAGTGGAGGCTAAGATTGAAAACAAAGAGAGGAAATGAACTCCGCAAAAGAGTTCTCGAGAAAGAGTGAAAGGAAAGCATTGCAACCCTCTGCCTATTTATAGGGCTGAGGGACAAGGTACAGGCTAGCACCCATACTGGGAGCCCTACTGGTGAAGTCAGGTCGTGTCTGAAGCATCTTATCTTTCATCTCGAAAATGAAAGGATTATGTGTCCCAAACCACCTACCCCACCCCCACTTCCCAGGACTTAGGGAACATCTGGCCTGCTGTATGCTTTGAATTGGGATGAAATGGATTTATAGCCAACTTGCTGAGGGGTTTGGGTTACAGAGATGGGAAGAAAGGAGTGGCTGCGAAGGTCCGGGGAGAAAACAGAGATGGGGGGAGGAAGAATGGCCCTTCATAGTCCCAGATCACTGGCTTGGGTGCTGGTGCTCTTTCTCTCTCTGAAGTTCCACACCTCCACTTCTATACCTTTGGGATTCATTTTCTCCTTATTCCTAAAATCCTCCTCCCTCACCAAATTCCCCCAGGCTCTACTCTTGTCCCAAAGTGGCCCTGTATTCTTCTCCCCTTAGGCCTCAGACCCTTCTCCTTCCTCCACCCACACCCACAGTCCCTGTTTATTCCTATTTATTCCAAAAATATTCACTGGGTGCGTACCAGGCATTGTGTGAATAAATATCTGAGAAAAGGTCCTGTCCTCAAGGAGCTCAGAGCTAGTGGGGGAGTCCATCAATTGCACAGATTAGGTTGTGGTGAGGGCCAAAAGGGGAAAGGACTTTCTCAGGCTCTTCTTCCCCTAAGAACAGTCATACATACTTTCTCAGTTCCTCAAACTTGTCTGTCCTTTGCTTCTTAGCCTATGGGCCTCTGCATCTGTGGCCTCCTAAGACATTCTCTCTTTTCACTTCTCTTCACCCAGCTAAGTCCTAATTATTGTTTGGGCTTCCTGTACGAAGCCTTTCCTGACTTTCCTCTACACACAGCCTTTCCCCCATCCCTAGGCTAAATTAGATGCTCCTCACTCGGCAAAGCCTGTTATCTATCATGGCATCTACCACCCTGGATTATAACTGCTTCTTTTGTACCGATTTGAACGCTCCAGGTGCACCGAGACCTGATCCCTTGCCCGCCCCTGTGTCCTCAGCATCCAGCACAGAGCCAGGCACACAGTAGCTTCAATGAATGAAGAGACTCTAGCTCAGGAGGCAAGGATCTTGCATCCCCCTCACCCCCTTCTCTGCACGCCCCGCCCCTCTGGCAGGATACTCCCCGCCGGCCCCGCCCCCTCACCTTCGCATTTGCTGGGGAGTCGAACCCAGTCGGTCTCCTCGGCTTGCGCCTGGCTCGGGCCCAGCTCCGGGGCCGGCAGTAGCAGCAGCAGCAACAGTAGCAGGGAGAGAAGCAGAAGACAGCGGGGTCCGGGCCGGGGCGCGGGCTCAGGCAACGGCTCCATGGCCCAGCCGGACCCGACCCCAGCGGACCGGGCTGCGCTTCCTCCGACTGCGCGCGCTGGGCAGCTTCCCGGAGCCGCTTCCGGGACTGCACACGTGCCTCGGCGTAACCAGGGCAACAGGGAGCCCCCGGCCCGCTCCCTCCTCTGGCTGCCTCGGCCCGCCCTCAGAGCCGACGAAGGCCCGCGGACTACGCAGCCAATGGGTTTTCCGGGGCTTGCACCCCAGCGAATGGGAGGGCGATCTTTTTTCGGCCTCGACCAATGAAGAAACAGATGGTGTCCTCAGTGTCCTATGGCAGCATCTTACCCCACCCACTAACGGTGGCTCTGGAGCGGCTGGACGACCAGCACGCCGAGAGGGAAGCTGTGGGCTAGGCCTGAAAGGGACGAGGTTGGGCTCGTCGGTCCTGCAAGAGGTGCAGAAGGCTGTCTTGACGGCCTTCGCCGCCGCCTTTTTACGCGTCACTTCCCTCCTGGGGTTGTAATGCAGCAAACACTTAAGTGAGCACCTGTTTTAAAATTTTATTATTATTATAGTTGTTGTTATTGTTGTAATTGCTAATCAGTGGTAGGCTGTGTAGGTGAGACCATGGCGACTCAGTCCCCAGCCTTCAAGCAGCTTTTTTAATGCCCAGTAATCCCAGCTTTGTCCCCCGAGAGCTAGAACAAATTACCTCCTCTCCAAGCCTGCCTTTCTTTTCTTTTCTTTTCCTTTTTCTTTCTTTCTTTCTTTCTTTCTTTCTTTCTTTCTTTCTTTCTTTCTTTCTTTCTTTCTTTCTTTCTTTTTTTCTTTCTTTCTTTTCTTTCTTTCTCTTTCTTTCTTTCCCTCCCTCCCTTCCTTTCTCTTGCCTCTTGCTTTTTTTCCTTCCTTCCCTCTCTCCCTTTTTTCTTTCTTTTTTCTCTTTTTTCCCCTTCCTTCCTGCCTTCCCTCCCTCCCTCCTTTTCTTTCTTCCTTTTTTTAATTTTTAAAGTAATCCCTACACCCAGCGTGGGGCTCGAACTCACAATCGCAAATTCAAGAGTTGGGTGCTCCATGGACTGAGCCAGCCAGGCACCCTGAGCCTCAGTTTCTATCTTTATGATGACAAAGGATGCTCCTAGCTGCTGTTAAAGACTTGCCTGTGGCTGGCAACCTCAAATAGGTTTGTGGAATTAAAGCTTATTAACAGATTGTAAAAAATTCACACTTTTTTTTTTATTAGTATGTAACCTTAGTTCTCTTTTCTACCCTATTATTTATTTCTTGGATTCTGAGCTCCTACAAAGCAGGGACTTGGCTAATGAACAATTGTATTTCCCTTCTGCCTCCCCAGCAACGACAGGGTACCCCACATAAGGAGATGCTCAGTGGGTTCCCATCTCCTCATCAAGAGGAGGACTTTCTGGGTCTTTGGGGCTGCTTCAGACTGCCCCTGAGCTCAGTGTCCTGTGGACACACACACATACCAAGGCTGCTTTTCTGGGAAGTTGTCTGCAAATTACACTTTTGTCTGCAAGGCTCTGTTCCCCAGTGCCCTATGTTTCCTTCCTAGATATTGGATATTTATATTATTTTATGAAGTCTTAGGACTGATACTCAGCCTTTTGACTTGTTATTTCCTGATTTTAGCTTCTTGCTCAAAACAATTGTGCAAGTGACAAGGCACTTTAGATACGAAGGGGCTGTGGTATGTATAATTCTATAGCACATAGGATCAGGACACCCTTCTGCAATGCTGCATCTTCTGTAGGCTTCTTAAGACTTGGGGAGACTCAGAGCCTGGCCAAGTCCAGTGATTTACCTAGGCCCAGGAACCCTCCTGGGAAATAATGTTAAGCCAGCCACAGTAGGCAACTGAGCCCGGGGCAGGGCAGGATTGGGGGATTGGAACTCAATGAGGAGGGGCGTTGAAGCTAAGGGAAGCTCTGATTCCAAAATGAACAAAAGGACGTCTGAAGGACATTTACTGAGGCACAAATCAGTTTGGCAGGAGCTCAGGGCCGGAAATGGACAGTGGCCGGAGAAAGTCTGAGGTTATGGCCAGACATGCCCTTGCCCCAACCCAGCCTAGCTTAGACTTCTTCTCAGTCTGTGTGTTGGGGAAGGAGCAAGCCATGTAGGGATGGTGGACGGATTTGTCCCCAGAAGTTGTGGGATACCCCTCCTTGAAGAATCCAAAAAGAGGCGGGAGTATCTCCTTACCGGCTGGTGAGAGATGAGCTGTGAGGCAGATAGTGAGGGTTTTCATGGAACAGTAGCTGAGAGGGCACAGAGGCTCAGGAAAGATGGAAATGTCACTGACACCATGTGTGTGTGTGGTGGTGGGGGGTGATGTTAGAGCATTTGCTAATACCACCTTGGGGGAAGAAAGACAAAGGTAGCACCACTTGTCCAGCAGACTGTCCTGTGCTGCCTAGGGGACACCTGGATTCACATGAAAGCACCCAGAGATTCCTGCGGGTGATTACTGGAGAGGAACCCCTGGAAAGACTGGATTTCCTGCCAGTGCTGGAGAAACAGAGGCCAGACACTCTACTGTGGGGGCCTCATATACTATCAGTGTAAGAATGCTCTTTAGGAAACAAAAAGACTCTTTAGTGCCTGGCTCAGGGTTGATGCTCAATGAATATTTGTTAAGTGAATAATGACCCTTAACTGATTAATAAGGTGTAAGTTTGTAATTAATATCCATGCTCTTGGCATTGTATATGATCCTGTTACCCTGGGATCCTGGCCCTGTTCATTTCTGTCAAGTCTGTACAAAACTTCACATCAGGCCCAGCACCCCACCTTCCTGGCTTCCTGGGCTCCTCGTCCTGACCTCTTGCAAAGGCTGGGTCAGGATGGGGAGACAGAGAGGGAGCCTCACCCCATGCCTGCCTGCGGAGAAGGAGACAGAGGTAGGACAGCATCTTCCCCAAACCCTGGCATCACTCTACAGTTCCCAGAGTCTCACCCTCAGGAAGCCCTCTTCCTCAAGGCAGCCCTCCCAGATTTCTGCTTCTTAAAAATCTGCCAAATCCCCTCCTCCCAGGGCAGACGTGAATTAAAATATGTTTCATTTGTCTATGTCATTTAAGTTCCCCTTTAATTGTTCTCAGTTCTCTGCACCTCAAGGGTCCCTGTACCTGTGGATCCCCGCCCTCAAGCGGCTCCCGGTCTGATGGGAGAGATACAGCCTTCTCCCTCAGAAGGCCCTCAATCCGAGGCGGGAGACAAACCCCAGCGCCGGAAATTTCCATCTGCAATAGGAGGCAGGTCACACACAAAGATTGCAAGGCTTGAGGCAGGAATTCAGGGTGACTCACGAGCACCAGGCCCAGGCTCGGTGGGTAGGGAGCGTCCCCTCCTCCCACACCCGGCTCCTGGACTCCCAGCCGAGAAGGCGGGGCTGCAGCGACAGGGTGAGCCCCGGGCCTGCCGTCCCCCCAGCACTGCGGCGAATCCAGGTGGCTGGAGCTGAAGGCTCTGCTGCGGGCGGAGGCTGCGGGAGACGGCGGGGCTCCAGGGGGGCCCTGGGGGGCGCGGGGAGCCCGGAGTCCCCCAGCGTGGAGGGCAGGGCACGGAGGCGGCTGCAGGTCAGGAGCACGTCAAACAGCAGCAGCTTGAAAAGCAGCAGTCGCAGCGCCCCCAGCCGCAGCGCCTGGCCCCGCGTCCCTGCGGGAGAGAGAAAAGCAGTTAGGGACCTGGAGGCCAGCGTCAGCCCCACCCGCAGGAGGGCGTTCTCTGGGGAAGAGGGGCCTTGTCCTCTGCCCTTGCCGTTCCTCCTCCCCGCCGTTCCCCAAAGCCAGGGCAAGTCCTCCCTGGTGTCTGACCTGAGCTCTAACTGGTAATAATAACGCACACCTTCCCAGCCTTCATTTTATCTTATTCCCCCCAAACCAGGGGGATGTAGGCCAGGCAGAAATTAGCATCTGATGCAGAGGCAAATAACCAGCTCCAAATGCTCTATGTGGTGAGGAAGTAGAACCTGACTCATGACTCTCTCTGCCTGTTGGGTGGTGGGACTATCACCCAGTCTCCCAAGGCTCTGACGCTGACACCATCCATCTGGGCTGCCCAAGGAGAGCTTTAAGGAGCCTCCCGTTAACTCTCACCTACACCTTCCAACTGGTGTCCAGGGAGTACTCTGGGGTCAGAGGACCCCCTCCCATTTACCCACAGGTAGACTCAAGCCCAGGCTTGCCAGTGCCCCAGCCCAGCAAGGCAGCCTCTTCAGGGAACACCACTAACCCCCCGCCCCGGCAGAGTGGAACCATCAGGCCAGACCCTAACAGAGCCCAAGATCCCCAGTACTCACCCCTGAGAGGCTCCCAGAGGCAGGTTCTGGCTGAGGAAGTCTCTCCTGCCAGTCAAGGAGAAGAGAATGAGTCTTTGGGGATGGGCTCTGCCCTCCACCCAAGCACTATGCTCCCAGCCTGGCACAGGGCAGCCATTCACGGCATGTTGGACAAATGAACCAGCAGTAGGAACCTGGGGCCCATTTGCTACGACTCCTCTCAGGGGCCCAGATCTCTCTCACTCCCCACGGTCGACTGTTCTGTGCCCAGGGGAGGCTGAGGTGCCTCAGCACTTTCAGACAAGAAATGGGTTTTCTTAACACCCTTCTTTTAAAGGTGGGACCTTTAGTCCACATTCCCGTTTGGAAGGTGACAAAACTGCCATAATCCAAAAAGAGGAAGTAAGTCACCTAGTAAAAATAATAGCTGGCTTTGGACATGTCACTTAGCTTCTCTGTGCCTGTAAGATTGGGAAAATAATATGGCCTAGTTTATGAATGTAAAGTGTTTGTAACAGTGCCTGTTGCAGGGTAAACAATAAGTAGATGAAAACATTTTGTTATTTAATTATTGCTTGGTCCTTATAGGTAGGGTGTCATATATAGGGCGATACAGATATTAACCCTAGGTAATAGGAGGGAGGAGGTATTACCTCTTGGAAGTCATGCATCAGAGCCTGGATTTGAAGGAGATATTTGAAGTCTGGATATTTGAAGGAGTTGCAAATCCAGGACTCAGGGCCCTGAGGTCACCCTGCTCTGATCCTACCCATCGTCACCTCATTCAGATGGTTGGCATGTGGACACCCTCCATGCCCCCATGGCCCGGAGCCTGCCCTGTCTCCCACCATATCCTGTTTCCAGGGTGTGTAGGGGAGGGGCAGGGAGCATCCACAGGGGCCCAGATGCCGTCCCTACCTGACAGCTGGAGGGGCCGTGTGCTCTGGCTGTGGTCGCCGGCCCCGGGCCCAGTGTGGCAAACCAAGTTTTCCCAGGCTGCCAGCTCCTCAGAGGGCAGGGAGAGCTGGGCCAAGCTAGTCCAGGTGCCATCAGCCTCTGGGGAAGGGCCGTAGGTGAAGGCGTCCAGCGAGCTGCCATTGCCAGCTGAGAACCAGATGGGGCTGTCAAGGCCAGGGGGTGCAACATCGAGGACCAGGCAGACCACCAGCGTCTGCTGCTTCCCATCCACCAGCAGCGTGATTGGTGGGGCCAGAGAGGGGAAGGGTGTGCCGCCCACACCTGTAAGAGAGCATGCACCTGTGGGGGGCTTGATCTGTCTGTGCCCTCCCAGGCCAGCACCTCATAATAGACTTCTGTCCTTCCATCTGGGTTTGCTTCCACCATCCATCTATCTTTCCACCCACTCATCCATCCCTCTCTTCTTGCATCTACCCATCGATTCATCCATGTTTTCCCCATCATCCGTCTTTCCTATACCTCTTCTACCGTCCATCTGTAGATCTGTCCATGCATCCGTGCATCCATGTATCCATCCTTCCCTCACCCAATATCTGGCATACTCTGTGCCAGGAACTGGGGATAAAACACTGGTGAAGACATTGTCCCTGCCCTCAAGGAACCTTTCCTATGGGAAAGATAGCAGGTGCATAAACACATTCTTATAATACCTTGTTGTGCCAGCCTCAGGAGAGTGGTTACCGCTGGGGAGGAAGGGAAGGAAATAAGATCTGGAATGAGATCAAAGAGGGCTCCGAATGTATCTGTAACTTTTTGTTTCTTTTATCTGATTCAAATATGGCAAAATTTTAACTATTTGTTAATCTCAGTGGAATATGCAGAGGTGTTTGTTGCCCTATTCTCTGTTCTTTTCTGTAGGTCTGTAGTATTAAAAATATTTTTTAATGTTTATTTATTTTTGAGAGAGAGAGACAGACAGACAGGCAGCATGAGCAGGGGAAGGGTGGAGAGAGAGGAAGACACAGAATCCTAAGCAGGCTCCAGGCTCTGAGCTGTCAGCACAGAGCCCGATGCGGGGCTCGAACTCACAAACCATGAGATCATGACCTTAAGCTGAAGTTGGACACTTAACTGACTGAGCCACCCTGGCGCTCCAGTCTGTTGTATTTTTTAGAAAGATTTTATTTTTAAGTAATCTCTACATACAACGTGGGGTGGGACTCAAACTCACAACCCTGAGACCAAGAGTCGCATGCTCTACCAACCTAGCCAGCCAGGTGCCCCTATAATATTTTTTAAAGAGCTTGGTCAGACATAATTTATGTATTATACAATTCACCTATTTCAAGTGTCTGTATTATTTCATAGTTAAAAAATCAAAAATAGGGGTGCCTGGGTGGCTCAGTTGGTTTAAGCATCCAACTCTTGATTTTGGCTCAGGTCATGATCCCAAGGTCGTAGGATTGAGCCCCGAGTCGGACTCCACACAGACTATGGAGTCTGCTTAAGATTCTCTCTCTCTCTCTCTCTCTCTCTCTCTCAATCTTCCCCTCTTCCCCTCCCCCACTTGCTCATGCAAGTTTTTTTTTCTCTCAAAAAAAAAAAAAAGTCACATGGGTACTGCAAACATCTGTCCTATATTTTCTGGGATAGTCTTGATTTTCTACAATCTTATATTTTTCAGTGAAGGTGACAATATATATAACGACCAAAATGTTATTCTTGAATAGTTGGATATCTTTTCATATAAATAAAATCTCAAACGTGAAAACCCACAAATTTACCCCATGAGTTAAATGCAGCCAAGCTAAAGAAATTCCCCAGGGCACAGGAAGAGACACCAGAGAATCTTGTGGGGAGGTCAGAGTGGGGGGGTGCTCAGGGAAGGTTTCTTAAAGGTCAAAGAACTGATCTGGAAGCATGTGGAAGGTAAGTAGCCTACTCAGGATTGGAACTCAGGTCTCTTTGACTCCTGCTCCCATAGACCCGCCCCACTTGGAAGGGTGACTAAGATTTTGCTACATGGCACAGTGGATCAAGCCTGGGACATGGCCTCAGACAGAGTTGGTTTGACTCTTGGCTGGTCCACTTAATTTACTGAGTCTTGAATGCACCAATATAATAAACTTAAAAACACCAGCCCAGTAAAATTGTTGTGAAGAATAAAGGTCATGAATGTCAAACACCTTGGCAGAAAAGTATTAGTATTATTTTATCAATACTAATATTAATAAGGCATGGCAAACAAAAGGAACAGAGAAAGCCGAAAGTGAGCTCCTGAGCCTGTCCAGTTGTACAGATAGAGACACTCCCCCAGGTTGAGTTTAGCATGTGCCTCCTCCATGAAGCTGCCCAGGATTGCTCCTCCTCAGCCTGGCTGCTTCCTTCCCAGACCTTTTGCCATGGGCTCTCCCTGCTTCACATGGATATGGTTAATCTCCCTAGCAAGAGACAGCTTATGAAAATACTAGAAGCCAGCTTTAGATCAAGAAGATGCGGGGGCACCTGGGTGGCTTGGTTGGGTAAGTGTCTGACCCTTGATTTTAGCTCAGGTCATAATCTCACGGTTCTTGAGATCGAGCCCAGCATCAGCCTCCTTGCTGATGTTGTGGAGCCTGTTTGGGATTGTCTCTGTCTTCCGCTCTCTGCCCCTCCCCTGCCTGCTAGCGCATGCTCTCTCTCAAAATAAATAAATAAAACTTTTTAAAAAATTTTAAAAAGAAGATGCCCTGACTCAGAGATCAAGACCTTTCCCCACCACATAACATGTAAACATGCACATACTTCTATATGGGATTCTATCCCCTAAGTTTGTTTGTTTGTTTGTTTGTTTGTTTAGAGAGGAGGGGCAGAGAGAGTGGGAGAGAGAGAATCCCAAGCAGGCTCTGCACTGTCAACATGGAGCCTGACTCGGGTCTCCAATGCATGAAACGTGAGATCATGATCTGAGCCAAAATCAAGAGTTGGACACTTAACCAAATGAGCCTCCCAGGCGCCCCAGAATTCTCTCCCCTAAACACAAGTCCTTTGGCTCCATTCTTGATCTTTGAGGAACTGAGGGTAATACCCTTGGGAAGTCACTGGGGTCTTGGGATCTCTCCTGAGAACTCACAAAGAAGGGGGAGCAGGGATGAACCTGAGGCATTCTGAGTCCTTTTGGAATAGGGTACTGTTGAGGGCAGGAGTCCAGGACAGGAAGGACAGGAGGGGATCTCACAATGCCGCCCATGTCCCAGCCCTGGCTACCCCATCCCCACCCTCCCTGGATGCCCATCCAGCTTGTTCTTATTATCTACTTCCAAGAAGTGACTGCCCTACTACCAACACTGTGGACTCCAGGGAACAGGAGTTGGAGTCCCAGAGAGAGGTAGCTGGAAGGTGAATACTGTGGGGAAGGGAGTGGTGGGCTTATGGTGAGACCCTTCCCAGGGACCCCACATAGGTCTGTCCTGCCTCCCCACATCCCACCCACACCCAAGGAGGTCAGGAGCTAGGGAGTGGGCTTGGGCAAACGAATGGGGCCCAGAGAGGGATGCAGGGAGGGGGCTCACCTATGGGCAGAGCTGGACACCCGAAGGCCAGGAGAAGCAGCAGCCAAGTCCTGGCCATGGCCCACCTGAGAAGAGGCAGGACTCAGCTGCAGACTGTGGGCTGCGGGAGGAGGTGCCCGCAAGACTGCCTCCCAGGCCACAGGCCCAGCTGCACCTCAGCTGCTCCACCACGGAGCCGTTTCCCCAGTGAGGGCCCCTCCCACTGCCACCCTGGCCCCCAAACCCAATCCCCTCTCAGGCGCCAGGGAACTCAAGGTGCCTCTCCCACAGCCTACTCCCTCCCATCTGAAGAGCACCTCACGGTCTGCAAAGTCTTTTCCCACTCACTGGCCCTGCCATCTACAGGATACAGAGCACCAGGCAGTATTCAAGGCCTTGCATTCAACACTTCATTCTGTCCAGCCAACCGCTCTAAGTTCCATTTCACAGGTGAGGCAGCTGAGGCTCAGAGAGGTTGAGTGACCTGCTCAAGGTCACACAGCTGGCAGGTGGCAGAGCCGGGGCTTGGACGGTTTCCTGATGGCTGACCTCACTGTAGCCAAAAAGCCCAATATACTTATTTCAGTGTTGTTACAACATCCCGCCCCCGCCACGTTTAAAAATAGAATTTAGTTTTTAGAACAGTTTCAGATTCACAGTGATATTGAGGGGAAATTTCAGAGATTTCATGAATATTCCCTGCCTGTTACATTGACTACCTTAAAAAAAAAATTTTTTTTTAATGTTTGAGAGAGAGAGAGAGAGAGAGAGAGTGCAAGTGGGGGAGGTACAGAGAGAGAGGAAGACCCAGAACCCCAAGCAGGCCTCAGGGTCCAAGCTGTCAGCACATAGGCCGACGCAGGGCTCAAACTCACAGACCATGAGATCATGACCTGAGCCATAGTCGGCTGTCCAACCGACTGAGCCAACCAGGCACCACTCATCGAATCTGTTTTAAGAATAAACTCTTGGGGCGCCTGGGTGGCGCGGTCGGTTAAGCGTCCGACTTCAGCCAGGTCACGATCTCGCGGTCCGTGAGTTCGAGCCCCGCGTCAGGCTCTGGGCTGATGGCTCAGAGCCTGGAGCCTGTTTCCGATTCTGTGTCTCCCTCTCTCTCTGCCCCTCCCCCGTTCATGCTCTGTCTCTCTCTGTCCCAAAAATAAATAAACGTTGAAAAAAAAAATTAAAAAAAAAAAAAAAGAATAAATTCTTTAGGGGCACCTGGGTGGCTCAGTCTGTTAAGCGTCCAACTTCTGCTCAGATCATGACCTCAGGGTTCATGGGTTCTGGTCCCATGTCAGTCTCTGTGCTGACAGCTCAGAGCCTGGAGCCTGCTTCAGATTCTGTCTCTGTCTCTCTCTGCTCCTCCCCAACTTGTGCTCTGTCTCTCTCTCAACAATAAATAAACATTAAAAAAGAAGAAGAAACTCTTTTGGGGCACCTGACTGGCCCAGTCAGTAGAGCAGTGACTCTTCATCTCCTTGATCTCCGGGCTGTAAATTCAAGCCCAGGTTGGGTGTAGAGATTATTTAAAATGAAATCTTAAAAAACAAAACAAAACAAAACAAAACAAAAAACCCTCTTCATAAATGCCATTTTCAGTGACTCTACTAAATTTTAGCTATAGCTGTCATTTTAACCCCGAAACTTCACATCTAGGTATATACCCTAATGAAATAATAAGGAGTCAGTCATTATAAGACAAAGATTTATGCACAAAAATTTTCTTTGAAGTAGTAGTATATGTAAAAAGCAAGAGAAATTGGAAACAGTGTAATTGTTCAACGCTACGCTAGGGGAAGGGCCAAATGAATTAATGTTTGGTGTACCTGTATTAGTGAATATTATGCAGCAGCTTTTTTTTTTTTTTTTTAAGTTTTATTTTTATTTGAGAGAAACGAGCCGCAGCATAAAGAAAGAAGGCAGGGGAAGGGCGAAGATGAAGGAAGGGGCAGAGTGCCAGAGGGAGAGAATCCAAGCAAGGTCCACACAGGAACCCAACTCGAGGCTGGATCTCATGAACTGTGAGATAATGACCTGAGCGGAAGTCAGAGGCTTAACTGGCTGAGCCATCCAGAGCTCGCCCGCCTCATGCTGTCTTCCTAACAGGTGAGTTTATCTCCAATGGGTTTTTTTTTATTTACTATATTTTGAAGGAGAGTAGAGAGCACCCAGAACAGAGAGAGAGAATCCCAAGAAGGCTCCCCGCTATCATTGCGATGTGGACATGGGGCTGTCTCCCACAAACCATGAGATCATGACCTGAACACAAATCAAGGGTACCCCGCTCAACCCAACCCACTCAGCCACCCAGGCGCCTTCCTCATCCCTTTTAAGCCTAGAAAGTCCTCGCCCTTCTACAGAACGGATACATTCTCCCTTCTACTGTCTTTTTGTGCGTGTGTAGTTTAATCCCCAATCCCCCATCACCATTTAACTCTATCAGGAATTAATTTCGGTGTATGATAGAAGACATGCATCTAAATTTCATCCCCCCCGCCCCCCCAGCGCTAATCGGTTATCCCAGGATATCGATTACTTGCGAGGATATCGATTACTATCCCAGGATATGGATTATCCCTATTACTTGCGAGACATTCTCTATGTTAATATCTTTTATGTTGGAGGGTTTATTTCTTCTTGGTTCTCAGGATTCTTTATTCTGGTTCCAGCCTCACCCCATTTCCGTCGGGATGGTTGCTTTAATAGTCCTGTCTATTGCACCCTCCGACGTCCCGCCCCCTTTCCTCAGGGAGGCCTGGAGGCCAGGGGCGCCAATTGTTCCCAGGCGCAGCCCGAGCCCAGGTGCCCACGGTCTGCGCGGGCTCCCGCTGGGAGGGGGAGGGGGCGAGGGCGGGGAGGAGGCAGGTGTCCCTAACGACTCTCCTGCCTTCCAGCCTGGGGAGGTGCTGGCCCGGGCTCCGTTACCACATTACAGATGGGGAAGGAGCCCTCTGGCCTCTTTAGGGTTTTAAGACCTTCCCAGGAACGGGGAGGCAGAAGACCCCTTGTGCCAGCCGCCTACCTTGCCGGCTGGAACCATCTCCTGCTGCTCAGCTACCCTCCCACCGGCCCACTCCCAGCTCCGGGCTACAGGTCTCATCCCCAAAGCACTGCAAGCTTTCCTTGCCCGCTGTCACATAGGTAGGTATCCTCCTTCCAGAAGCGCCAAGAATCTCCCTCTGCGGGCACAGTCTTGCGGGTCCTAAAGACGCCCTTGCCCAGGGCTGTGAGGATGTCCTGACATGCTGGGGTTGGATCTCAGAGCTCCTCTGAGAGAAATCCTTCTCTGAGCTCCTCACTTGGGATTAAACTTGGCCATTTGCTGACCTGCCTACTAAGAGCCAGGTCCTATTCACAGACCTCTCCTTAAATCCCCACAATCACCCCATCAGGTGTTCTCATCCCTGTTTCCAGCTGGGGAAACTGCGACTCTGAAAAACGAAGTTCCGAGGATCCCCTAGCAGCAAGTGGTGGAACTGGGATTTCACTCTAGGGATGTGTTCACAGGAGTCTCTCCAGGGCTCTTCATCCAAGGTTGTCCGATAGGAGTACCCATCTGAGTGCCTGGCACAGCAGATGATCTCTCCCTCTCTCCCCTTTTTTTCATATATACACATAGAAAACCAAGGGCTCTTCTAAACTGGGATGAGCCACATAGGCTATGAAAAAGAAAATGAAGGAAAAGCAGCAGTGCTTATTAGACAAAGACCGCCGCTATTCACCAAGCGGTTACCGATTGTAAATCTGACATATCCAATTAGAAGGCTGCAGTCAGAGGGCCAGATCAGGATGTGTGTGTGCTGAAGTAGCAAGTAGAAGTGTCTTCCAGTTAATACTGACAGGGGCACCTATTTCATTGATCAAATAAAAAGTCCTACAGTGATAGGTATAATACAAAATAAAAATCACCTGAAAGTTCAGTAACAAGGAAGGAGCTAAATAAACCAGAGTGGCTCTCTAGGATGAAATACTATGCAGGCCTCAGAATATCCTCGTATTGCAAACCACTTCTTGGTGTCTGTTTGATGCCAGGAATTGGGGCTGGGGATGAGACAAAAAGAGCTACTCCCACCAGTCAAGGAAGGAGACAGGCTCATAAACAGACAAGGGACTTGGAGTGTAACAGATGTCACGACTGGTGTGTGCGTGTGTGTGTGTGGGGTCCCGGGAGAGGGAGATCATCCTTTCTGGAGCTGATGTGAGCCTTAGGAAGAATGATTTAGAAGATACTTGAGCTAAGTCTTGATTCTTTCCGAAGAGGTTGTAATGACACGGGGAAATGTTTCAGTTATTATGTTAATTAAAATTTTTTTTTAATGTTTATTTATTTTTGAGAGAGAGAGAGAGAGAGAGAGAGAGGAAGGGCCAGAGAGAGAGGGAGACACAGAATCCGAAGCAGGCTCCAGGCCCCGAGCTGTCAGCACAGAGCCAGATGCGGGGCTCGAACTCACGGACTGCGAGATCATGACCCTGAGCTGAAGTTGGCCACTTAATGGACTGAGCCCCCAGACACCCCTATGGTGTTAATTTTTTTTTTTAATTTTTTTTTTCAACGTTTATTTATTTTGCGGACAGAGAGAGACAGAGCATGAACGGGGGAGGGGCAGAGAGAGAGGGAGACACAGAATCGGAAACAGGCTCCAGGCTCTGAGCCATCAGCCCAGAACCCGACACGGGGCTCGAACTCACGGAGCGCGAGATCGTGACCTGGCTGAAGTCGGACGCTTAACCGACTGCGCCACCCAGGCGCCCCTGGTGTTAATTTAAAGAGGATTAAAAGATGCACAGGTAGCACGATCTGACGTTCGTGGAGCCACCACACCAGCTTTGGCTTGCTTGACACCAAGTTTAATTTATAGGAGAAAGAGCTTAGAAACGTTTATCATGTGTAAACTATTGTTATTTTGGTTTTTCTGCTGCTCGCTGCCCAGACAATTCTAACTAAAATATGTACTTTATATCCCAGGGTCCTAGCAGGAACACAGATGGGTATTTTGAAGATGTTAGCTACCTCCAGTGTTCTTTACATAAGTTAGCAGGGGAAATTGGGGGGTACAAGGCCTAAGTTGAAATCACACCTGCCTGCTTTCACTCCAGTGACACATTCTTCTTATCCTTTTTGCCAGCACCAGGTTCCTTACCTGGTGGGTGACTCAAACCTTTACTCCTATAGGGTCTGAGTCCTTGGTGGTCTTGACTTTGTTGGGTTGCTGAAGTTTTCGGGACCACTGGTTGGGAGGATTTAAAAAAAATTTTTTTTTAATGTTTATTTTTGAGAGAGACAGAGACAGAATGCAAGTGCGTTAGGGGCAGAGGGAGAGGGAGACATGGAATCCGAAGCAGGCTCCAGGCTCTGAGCTGTCAGCACAGAGCCCGATGCAGGGCTCGAACTCACAGACCGTGAGATCATGACCTGAGCCGAAGTCAGGCGCTCAACTGACTAAGCCACCCAGACGCCCCGGGAGGGTTATTAAGAGACACCTCAGTGACTCCTCTGGGCTCCAGATCTAGCCCCATCTCTATTATGCAGTAGCAACCTAATTTTCTCTAGTAATTGGGCTTCACCAACCGAGACATTAGAGAGGCGCCTTTCTCTGCCTATTGGATCAGTAGCAGGAGAAACCAAAATGGCCAGGGCCATCTCAGCTTTCAAGTCATCAGTTCTATGATTGTCGTATGGTGGGAAGTGTTTCTCTCTGGGGTTCTAGAATCACCACGCCCTCTGAGTCCATTCCATTATTGGAATGGGAAGCAAAAATTCTTCTGGTAGGTTATAGACTTTAGGTGTAATAGTGAGGAGGCTCTGACTACCCCTACCTCTTGGTTATATATGACCATGTATGGTTATGGTTTAAGGAAACACTGCATCGGGTAGGATAGCCCCTGCACCTTGCAAAGTGTGGTTTCTCAGCTATGCTCCAAATGAGCCTTCAGCAGGCCAATCCACCATTCTCTCTTGCCTGCTGCTTTGAGGTCATGGGGCACACGGTAAGATCAGTGAATTCCTTGGGAGTGAGCTCATTTATACATTTCCTTGGCAATGAAATGTGAGCCCTGGTTGGAGGCGATTTTGTGTGGAATGCCATGGTGATGGGTAAGGTATTCTGTCCATCAGAATACCTGATGCTGACAGAATAGTGGTGCTGACAGAAGACTGTAGGCAGAGGAGGTGAATTCATACCTGGAATATGTGTCTGTTCTCATGAGGATAAAGCACATGGAGTCCTTCCATGCTAGGAGGGCCCAGTCAAATCAGCCTATAAACAGGTGAGAATGGTACCCAGTCAGGGACTCAGCATGCGGCTGTAAGTAGGATGGACATTCAGCTCTGGTCACAGCCAGATTAGCCTCAGAGAAGGGAAGACTATTACTGAACCAAAGCATAGCTTCCATCCCTGCCACCATGAGTCCACTGAACAAGGCCTAACGTGCCTGGGGAAAGAGGGTCCACAGGACTGTCATTATGTCCAACGGGAAGACCATTCTTTCCCATGTCTTAATGTGGGGTATTATGGCTACCTTTCCTTTGGCTGTTAAACATTGCCACCTGGCCTTTACGCTACCAGGATACCATTGTTTCCACTGAGATCACGGAATCCAGTTCTACTGATTCATCCAGCACCCCCCACTAGCATCTCCAGCCTACAGAGGACAGCCATTAGAGCAAGTCAAGGATGTGGGTGACTCTCACCAATGCATTTATCTCCCTCTTCCTTTCCTTCCTTCCTTCCTTCCTTCCCTTCCTTCTTTCTTCTTTCTTTTTCTTTTTCTTTCTTTCTTTCTTTCTTTCTTTCTTTCTTTCTTTCTTTCTTCCTTCCTTCCTTCCTTCCTTCCTTCCTTCCTTCCTTCCTTCCGAGTAAACTCTGTGCCCAACACGGTGCTCAAATTCTTGACTCCGACATCAAGAGTTGCATGCTCTACTGACTGAGCCAGCCAGGCACCCCTCACCAATGAATTTCTTAATGCTTTGGCAAAGAGGTGTTTTCCAGACCCCCTTAAAATATGTCTTGAGGGGTGGCTAAGCAGGTTGCACATAATAAATCCAATGTGGCATGCCCACCTCTCTGAGATTTTGGATTCTTTCCTTTACATTATGCCAGGGAAATTCTGGCATTTCAAGTTTACTAACTATAGGCTACCATTAAATCCAGGCTTTAATTAACCAACCTCATAGACTATTTATGCCTCTCCCAGGTGCTTGAGCCAACACATTAAATCCCAAATCCTGGATGAGCATCCATGGACTTGAGTTTGGGCAAACTGAACCTGACATTCCACCCTCCTGGGTCTATTTCCCTTAGAACCCATTCCCACACATATTGCTGTGGCTCCTGCCAAGACAGTTTAGCAAGATCTGTAATTCCTTCTGTCTGGGCGTCCTCCTCTCAGTGTGGGCCTTGTGCTTCTCTGCCCAGGCTGTTCTGGGATCTGATTTGACAAGGGCCAGGGAAGACTGGAGGTGGGGAGAGTCCTGAAGCTGATGTCTGGGGAGACGGAAGCCAGTGTCTGCCCAAATGTCCCCATTTCATCTCAGAGTCCCTCGGTGCCCTTATGTTAGCATATTCTTATGCTGCCCTAGAGGGCTGAGCACTTAATTAGCACCACAACTTGGCAACCCCTACAATGACATCCCGGTGCCCATCCTCAGCCATGTGGGCTCATTTTGCCTATAGGGGATGAGGGACCCCTCCAAGGTGCCATCAAGGTGTCCTGATTCCACACTCGCATTTCCTGTCAGACATTGATAATTTCCAGTTTTCTCCCTGTGGCCATGAGAAGCCACACGAGGCCACACCATAGTGAAGAAGAGCCACAGCTATTTGTTCTGCCATCTCCCTCCCTCAACAATGCAGTATTATCCACTTCACCCCTGCCACCCCCCACCCCTGCCCAAGGATAATTTGAGTAATGGTGACACCTGTGCATGCAGTGAATCATCTGGGTGTTCTTCCCCCGCTGCAAAGAGGCTTCCCCTGTGCTCTGAATTTATGATCAGTCCAATCTCAGTATTCTATCTGAGGCTGTTCCTGGAGCCAGTTCCTTTATTGGTGAGTGTGGACAGGAAACAGAGGACACACATGTATTGGATAATTTGAGGAGAATTTAATAAAGGGACTATTTACAGAGGGTGGAAGGGTGAAGGGAAATCCCAAGTGATAATGCAGTGCCTGAAACTGGTAACAGGCCTGAAGAGGTGAGGAGAGCAATGGCAGGGCCCTAAAACCAGAAACCAGGACCCTGCAGCCAGTGGGAATCCTGGGGGGAGAGAAACTGAGGAATAAATACCCTGGCCTCCTTCTCCTTCTCCTTCTTTCTTCTCCTGCTCACTCCCACCCCTCCACCCCCACCCCCACCCCCACCCCCGCATTTGCCAAACCCCAAAGCCTATTGCAATGTCTGTAGATGTCAGTGTGATGGAAGCTGGGTGGACAAGGGTGGAGAGAGGACCTGGAGGGGCCACAGAAGAGAGTCAGCATAGCCACCCACCTAGTTAGAATATTAATAACCATCTTTGTGGGCATCACAGAGACATTTATGATGTTGCCATTTATAAAGCATCCAGGCAGTCATTTGCAGAATGTCTCTCACTTTGCTTTGCTCATTTCTTCAAGATTAGATTCAGAGTGAACCTTTTGGGCAGGAATACTACAGAAGAGATGTATTATTCCTACACCCATAGTGTCCTTCTCAGTGCATCACATCAGGAGATACATGGCGCCAGCTTGTTCTATTAGTAGTTAGACTTTGATTACATGATGAAGACAGTGTTTGCCAGATCAGGCTAGCTTTCGATAAACTTACAAACCTGAGAATTGTTTGTACTAACTTTCTGAGCAGCCAGAGGGACTGTAGCACACCTGACCTGCCTTCATCTTCTCTCATCCCCTCTGGGAACACCAGGAATAGAGTCTTGATGGTAGGAAATGGGGAGAGAGTGTCAAGACTTTCTAGTGCTGTCACTTGTTCCCAGTTCTCCTGAGGTCACTGGAAATCTGTCCACAGCTATTTTCTGTCTGGAGCTGCGGAGTCCGGTGTGGAGAAGATCCCCCTTGCCACAGGTCTCTACAGGTGTAGGTGCGCATTTCTGCGCATGTGGGAAAATAAGTTTGAACTCCAAGGTCCGGCGGGCTCAGTCGGAGGACCATGTGACATTTGATCTCGAGCCCCAAGAGATTACTTAAGAAAAAGAAAAAGAGGGGCGCCTGGGTGGCGCAGTCGGTTAAGCGGCCGACTTCAGCCAGGTCACGATCTCGCGGTCCGTGAGTTCGAGCCCCGCGTCGGGCTGTGGGCTGATGGCTCAGAGCCTGGAGCCTGTTTCCGATTCTGTGTCTCCCTCTCTCTCTGACCCTCCCCTGTTCATGCTCTGTCTCTCTCTGTCCCAAAAATAAATAAACGTTGAAAAAAAAAATTTAAAAAAAAAGAAAAAGAAAAAAAGGAAACAGGTATGTGCACCTTCCTATGCATGTGTGCCAAATTGGGTCTTTTTGTCCGCATCAGCGTGTCTACATGCACGGCCCATTCTGTGCAAGCCTTCAAGTTCCTTCTAAAGCATTCATTGCACGTTGCAGGCTCTGGTGTGGGCTAAGGGTGTGTGTGTGTGTGCGCGCGCGCGCGCGTGTGTGTGCGCGCGCGCGCGTGCGCGAAGCGTTTCTGCGCGGAGCAGGTCGCAATTCTCAAGTGCTCCCCCCTTTCTGGGCCGGCTTGGTATGGTCTGCGAGCTCCTCTACATTTCCTCCGACGGTGGTTGCACCCACCTCACCCGGAAGTGCTTGCCCGCACGCATGTCAGGCTTGCCCCCCGGCATGGAGCAGCACAGCGGTCGGGTCTGCCCTGACCCGGGCCCGCCGCCCGCGGAGTCGGCCCCCGCCTCGGTGACCCTGGAGCAGCTCCTGCAGCTGGTCCAGGAGGGCCGGGAGCTCCCGGGCCTGGAGAGGCGCTGCATCACGGCGACCCACGGCGAACCCACGGCGCCCCGGCTCCCGCGGAGGCCCAAGCCCTGGGAGGCCTCGGGGTCGGCTGAGGCTCCCGCGCCGCCGCCGTAGCCCCGGGAACCCAGATCCCGTCGACCTCGGGTCCCGGTAGAAGAACGCCTGGAGGGGCCCGGCTCGGCGGAGTCAACGACTGCGCCTTCCTGACGGCACGTAGTGGGTTCCTGAGGCTCGTAGTCCTTTGCCTTTTAGACCTGGAGAGCGTGACTCTGTTCATAAATTCGGACCTTGGATGCTGGCCACGGTTATCTTTTATGCATTCGCCCCCGACCTGTCTCAGCTGAACTTAAGCCTCCTGGGAGAGTCATTGGAGTTGTCTTGTATCCGAGTATTTCTGGACCAAGATCCTCATTTTAAAAATCCGGTTTCGGCCCTTACAGATGATTGAAACAGATCTCATACTTTTTACTCTCTGCGATGCATAGATGTGCCTTCATTTTTAAAATGCTACTGAGGACACACTAACGGGGTCTGACCCACTGAGAACAATTTCGTTAGTAATGTAGGAAAACGTCAGTGTTTATCTCCCGGTTCAGCTAATTCTTGTGAGTTGGGCAAATGAACTTGGGATTCAAGAGGTGTTGATCTTAGCCATTCTCCAGGTCAGCAGCTAATAAAAGGTTTAATGATTAAACTTGGCCCTGGAATGACTTCAAAGATACATTAGACCAACAAAATCCTAAAGCGTTAAAAGAAAAGCCAGTCAACAAAAAACTAGAACCTTTGGCTCTGGGAACCAGTTGGGTCACGATAGAAGCTTAGAACAGAGGGAGAGCTCCTACGACTACTTTCTGAAGTCTCTAAGTAGGCGGGCCATGTGGCTTACTGCTCCTACTCTTGCTTACTGAAACTAAGGTTTTTGTTTTCCCTACATCTAGAACATATATGTGGTGTATGTTGATAGTTTTGTATGTTGACAGCCATGAACAATTCACAGTTAGCATACGCTATCTACAAATCATACGACTAATTTTTCCCAGAAATGATAGTTCCACAACTTGTTCAGGGAATGGTAGATCATAGTGCACGATACAGCAGTACATTAATTTTTTTGTAAACGTTTATTTTTGAGAGAGCGTGCGAGCGGGAGAGGGGCAGAGAGGGAGACACAGAATCCAAAGCAGGCTCCGGGCTCTGAGCTGTCAGCACAGACCCAGATGCAGGGCTCCAACTCACCAAGGGCGAGATGGTGACCTGAGCCAAAGTTGGATGGTTAATCGACTGAGCCACCCAGGCACCCCAGCAGTACATTTTTTATAACTTATTTATATACATAGAATTCCGAGTTAATGGTTATTTTGCTTAACCTTTTGAACAACTGTGTGAGGAACACATGCTACATTAGTTCCATTTTGCAGGCAAGAATGGAAACGTTTTTCTTGTATTTAGCTTTTTTTTTCCTCCCAGAGAAAGGGGAGTGGGGTAGAGAGCATGGGAGAGGGGCAGACAGAGAATCTTAAGCAGTTTCCACACTCAGCGTGGATCCTGAAGTGGGGCTCAATCCCATGACCCTGGAATCATGACCTAAGTAGAAATCAGGACACCCAGGTGTCCCCTTCCTGTATTATAAAACGTACCTGCAGTAGAAACCCTGGGCATCCACATTCACAAATGCTCTTTTCCCATGGCTTTTGATACGTCATCTTAAAGTAATTTGATTTCACAATGCTTTAAAATATGAGTAAGCTCTAACATCTATTCCTGGCAGGTTAACTCTTGAGCCAACCAACCTAATTAATTACCTCATAACCTGGCGCATTCTAAGGCATTGTTCTAACTCAACCTCACAGCTATGTTTGAGGGCCCCATGAGCCAAAAGTGCAGCAAAGCTGATCATAAGGGACCAAGGGACACAGTGGTTAAAAATTTTCAAGTCTTAACCTATGCCTGGCACACTCACCAACTTCTCACATGGCAATTGAGGCAATGACGTGACAGGAACAGAGGAAGGCCCACCTAGGAGGGGGGCACTGATGATAAAACACAAGCAGGATCAGATTCCCTTTCTAGGTCTATGTCCCCAGGAGCCCTAGTGGTGGTCTATACATGGTTACCAGCAGGGTAGAGAGCAATACTTTTGGAGTCTAGACTATGCAAGGAGAGGGTTCAATAAAGGCTGCCTGGGGCCTAAAAGACCTAATAGTACTAATTTCATCCATGCCAAACCAAGAACATCCCATCTTGAAGCCCAGCAGAAATAAATGGGGAGCATTTCCCTGAGGCAGATGGTACAGAGGGCTCCGGGATCCACTACTGTGACCCTAATAGGAAATACCCAATTGGCTCCAAGGGAAAAAGCTATCTTGGTAAGCTTTGGTCTTCCACAGGACATGGGACCAGAGGAGACTAACAAGGTCAGGGCCCAGGTGGTCAATCCAGATAGTGCAGGACTTCCTCACAAAAGGTGCATGGTCCCTAAGAGAAATCTATGAACATAAAAATTTCCAAGCAATAATTTGAGTGTACGTATTTTCCTGGGAAAAGGGTCCTTCCCTTCTCATAGACCCAAGAAAAGGTTAAAATCCTGAGCTAGAGAAAAGGACTAAATCGACCGCAGGCTATGATAAGGAAGCCACCAGATACACTTCAGGCCAGCCAAGTCTGAGAGCTCACAAAGCGGTCACTGAAAAGTCAGAACAGACTCACAGCAGAGACAACTGAGAACCGTGTTTGTGCTCTTCTTTGTAACTATATTTTAAATTCCTTCCAAAACAAAGCCCCAAGAACCCCCAGGTTCAAGTATGTCCCTGAGCGTGGCCCACTGCTGTCTTCTATTCATGCTTGGATACTCGTTTACTAACATTAAACCCCAGAATGAAAGATGTGACGTAGCAGGATTCTCTCTTCCATGGCATGAGTCCTCTGCTGACTTATGGGGTGACAGTGTAGTCAACGTGGAAAACACACTGGAATTTTTTCTTGGAACTGGGCTGTGATGAGACATGCCTGCCAAGAACGTCATCATCTTTTCCTTGACTCCCCCACCCTCTAGTTTCTGAAGGTATAGCAGAAAATATCTTCTTTGAAGATACTGATAACAATTCCAAAAGACAAAACACACCTCCAATGTGCTGTGCTTTCAGATATTCTGAGGAAGAAAAACATAACTTCATTAATAGAAATTTAATGACAGTTGACACCTAAGATTAAGCAATTTCAAAAAATTAAGATACCTTCCACAAAATAGATGGTTTGTATCTTCAAATCCTTTCTGAAATTAGTTAATATTCTCTCCCCATTGCCAGGTAAATGACCACAGCAATACAGAAGATTTTTTTTTTGTTACTCAACATTTTCTAGCCTCTGATTGTTGGAATACACATGGGAATGCCCCATGTCCTAACCAGGCATTCACTGTTTCAAACATATTTCCATCTGTTAGACTTGTAGATACCAGTCTCTCCCTGCCCTCTACCACTCAAACGCCAAAGTTACTCTCAGATACTGGTAAATGCAAAAAGAATTTTTAAGTGGCAAAGAATGGACCATCACATCAGCCCAAGGCCAGTTTTCAGCCCTGCCTCACCTGGGTTTAATTCAGCTGCCGAATGAGCTGATTGATGCGTTCGCCTCGATAGCCTGGTAAGCCCACCTCCTTGAGAAAGCCCACTCTATTCTTGGTAGCATGACGGGCCACTGAGAGATGGAAAGGACGTAAGAAGTCACAAATGGCCTGGAAATTCTTCCCCGGAAAGGCAATTTCATGAATGAGGTCTTCCAAGCAAATAACACCGTACTTCCCTGGGAAACATAAGGATACAGATTCCTTTATTCAACATTTCCCCAGTATATACTATGAGGCTGTTATATGCTCAGAGCTGGGCACTCTGGTAGGTTCTTGGGACTCCAAAAAAACCAGTACCTAAATCCCACATCAAGACCACCAGAGATCCTTGCTTTCTGCCCAACTGACCCCTAAGATGCCACACTCACCCAGGTGCTCCTCAATCACTGTGTTGTCTGTCAAAGGGATGGTTTTATTCTTGACCTTGGCTTGTCCACGTTTCAAGATGAGTTCCCGGACAGACTTCAGATTTGGAAATCTATGTGAGGCAGAATAAAGTACAGCCTTAGCAGCCCCTGGCACACTGCATACACTGGTCACTCAGTGCTGCAGCCTGGCTGAGGAGGGATTCTCCTACTACCCCTTCTCCCAAAAGTGCAATCATGCTGCAGCTGGGATGCCTGCAAGTACACAAGCAAGGAAAAAACCAGAGTGGCCCTATGGACTTAAAAATTACAATTTATGGATAGAAATGTTCATTGTGCAAAAAAAAACAAAAAAAAACAAAAAAAAACCTTCCGAGGCAAAAATAAAACAAACACTGGCTTATAATCCAGGACTTTGGCCTTATAGAATCCTCTACTCAAGATGGCTAAATCCAAGCGCTTGCTGGGTTTTAATGTTTGAAAGAAGACTACTCGAACTCATGACCCCAAGATCAAGAGTCACACGCTCTTCTGACTGAGCCTGCCAGGCGCCCATGAAAGAACACACTACTCTTACACAAGCACTGCCCCCAGCTCTGCCCCAAGACTCCCAAGAATTAACTTCTCTTCTACCCATCTTACTCAGCCTTAGCTTACAAGCGAACAAGCCCTGCCATGGTACTTTTCTTGTCACGTCAGCAGCAGCACCACCTCCTGCTCTGTCTGCCCCATGTTCCAAAGTTCTATGGCTGGCAGCTGATTTCTGGGAACTGTGGTCACCACAAAATGTTTCTTCAGCACAGCAACACGAGCCCTGGAGGATAACACTCGCATGCTAATGTTCTCATCAGGCTCACATACAATCTAATATGAATCCACACACACAAAAACCTTACTCACCCCCAGGCCACATACGGTTCCACTATACGCAGCGTTTTTATGGTCTGGGGGGTCACTCTGAAAAAGACACCACTGAAAATCTTCTTCAGGCGAAGCCTTGCAATGGTCCTCTGCACCAGCGAACTCACCCCATTAATCCTGAAATGAACGACAGAGGAAGTCAGGTTCTATTCAGTTTTTGTCAGTCCGACAAGGACCTATGAAATGACTGCCACTACAGGGCA